TACTAGAACTATTCCTAATTTCTGGTTCTATCTCTGGTACTATCTCTGTTACTACACTATATTTACTATACTTCATTTAAACATTTAATTGCCCAGTCAATCCATTCTTCCTCCCAACCATTTACTTCATAATATGCCTTTTTTAATCTTGAATCTAGTAAGGTTGTTACCACGTATATAGGATTATCGCTTCTGGCAAAATAAAATCTTAATTCTGTAAGTGCTGCTTTAATAGCCTCATTAATTATTGGCAACAAACCTCCTTGCTTCTCCATTTTTTCAAGATCATCCATAATGAGATTATATGCCGGAATGGCAAGAGGCATTGTTATATATGATTCACCACACATTGTCTCAGATATATCGCAAAAGACTTTTAATAGTAATGAAATTTCACTCAATATTTTCCATTTTGATCGCAGAAGACCAAATGTATTTAACTCAGGAGCTTTTCTAACTATTTGATTTATTGCTGAAGCCATAATAATAGCTTATTCAATCATATTTAGGGTCGAGTTCTATCGCGTTTTTGAGTCAAGAACTGGACTCAAAAATTGTAAGTTAAGAGATTTATATACATCACTTAACTGTTGATAATGTTGGGGCAAATAGTGAAACTTTGTAATAAGCTTACAAAGTTTTTTAATTGTTGAGACTTGAGAAGTATTAGAGGTATTGTCTTTCAGATTATTGTCTTCCAGGTTATCGTCTTCCAGATTATTGTCTTCTAGGTTGTTGTCTTCTAGGTTATCGTCTTCTTGATCTGGTGCCTTAGAACATAAATGAGATAAAAAATCTTGCAAGGCAAGATTAATAACATGGGCGATACACCGGACATGGCCTTGCTACTTGGTGAAGGAACCACTAACATCTATAGAATATGATTTGAATACATCAATGAATGTATTGTTATTATAGGCATTATCTACTAGTATACCAAGTATTTTATAAGTAATGTCAAAATCTTCGCAAATACTTATTAGCTTATTTGCTATATTTGCTCCCGAATGTGGTCCTTTGAACGGCGCAAGATCAAGCACATGGCTTTGGATTTCCCAGTTATTATCAAGCCAGTGGGCCATGACTTTTAAAAAAGCTTTACAACTATTACTCGTCCATAGGTCCATAGTAAGTGAAATCTTACTTGAGTTATTTTCTAGCATGTTTTTTAACAAAGCTTTTGATGTTAAGTAATGTTTTAACAGATCTCTTTTAATTGTTCTTGCTGATGTAATTGTAATATTATCTTCTAACTTTCTAATTATGTTAAATAGTTTATGAAAACTCTCTGACTCTATAGTAATGAACGGAAGATTATTCTTTACAATCCAATCAACCAATGTTTCTCAAAGAAGATATTCACCGGACTGAGAAAATAAAGTGGCTAACTCTTCAGGATCAATAATGTTTGGAATGCTAATTTTGTGAATATTAATAACATGGTTATACAAATTGGAAGTACCACTATTATTCACGGTAAGATACTTGTCTTCCGGGTATAGCTTACATTTAACTTTTCTTTTCCCGATTCATCTTCAATAGGAGAATCAAAATACAGCCACACCGGAGCTGGTACATGCATACTAGTTGTGGATATCATTGTTTGAAATTAGGAAGGTGTTTTAATAGCAAATTAGTGTGTTATTTTAAAACAAGTTAAAATATATTTTATTATCAAGTTATTTTATTTTGTTAAAAAGAATAAAGATATTGTATATATGATTTTATTTATTAATACTTGGGTTTAATGCTTTTTTAAGTGCAGTTTTTCTGTTTATATATTTATTTACATTTCATTTATTATTGCCTACCATATTAACAATCTTTGCATAAAAGTATATAGAAATTGCATAAAATGATTGTATATATACAGTATAATGCATAAAAAGCACGATAATCAAATTAACATAACATAGCGATTAAACAAGCATAAGCATAAAAATTAATGTGATTAAGCAAGCATAATGATCATGCATAAAGATTACTGTAAATAGTGATCGAGCAAGCATAACGATCACGCATAAGGATTACTTAAATAGTAATCGAGCAAGCATAACGATCACACATAAAGATTAAATTGTAATTGAGCAAGCATAATGAATACACATAAAGATTAAATGCGATCGATAAAGCATAATAATCAAGATGCATGAAATTTAATACATTGATTTTTAATTTGAAGTTTTACGTTTAGATTTAATATTAATAAAAGAAATTTACAATAAAGTTTCTTAATCAGGATTTTTTTATTGTTATTGTAATCATATAAATTATTTACATCAAGTGTATTAACTAAATCTACCAACACTATAGTATTACTATTCTAACACTAATTCTAACTGAATATCGTCACATAATAAGCATATTAGAAAAACAGATTACCCATCAATATTACAACATAAATGCATAAAACATCAATTGACACTAATGAATAAGTCTACTACTAACAATGATGATACTATATAATATCAAAATACTAAATGGTAGAAGATACTAGCGGCAAATTCATTTTTGCAACAAAATACAAACAGATACCACATAATAAACTTGATTATCACCTGTTAGAAAGAAAGTATTTAAACTATATCTGAAAAGAAATGAAAAGCATTAGTAATGTGTCCACAAGCAACAATAAACAAATATATATATATTACGACCCTGAAATATGCCAAAAAACTGAATGAGAAGTTCAAAATTCATTCGATCAGTACTTGGTAAAGAAAAAAGATTATTAGTTATATATACGTTTAAGAAATTCAATAACCAGAATAATAAAAAAAAAATTCATACTTCTCAAATTCCTTAAACTAGAAAAAAAATAGAAAATTGGAAGCTCAGAAGAAAAAACATACAATAGCAGCACAAATTATTTGACCCTGAAATACTCCAAAAAAACTGAATAAGAAGTTCAAAATGTATTCGATCAGTACTAGATAAAGAAAAAAGATTATTAGTTATATATACATTTAAGAAATTTAATAACCAGAATAATAAAAAAAAAAATTCATACTCCTCGAATTCCTTAAACTAGAAGGAAAATAGAAAACCAGAAGCTCAGAAGAAAAAACATACAATAGCAGCACAAATTATTTGACTTTGAAATACTCCAAAAAAACTGAATGAGAAGTTCAAAATGCATTCGATCAGTACTAAGTAAAGAAAAAAGATCATTCGTTATATATACATTTAAGAAATTCAATAACCAGAATAATAAAAAAAAAAAATTCATACTCCTCGAATTCTTTAAACTATAAGGAAAATAGAAAACCGTAAGCTCAGAAGAAAAAATATACAATAGCAGTACAAATCATTTAACCCTGAAATACTCCAAAAAAACCAAATGAGAAGTTCAAAATGTATTCGATCAGTACTAGGTAAAGAAAAAAGATTATTTATTATATATACGTTTAAGAAATTCAATAACCAGAATAATAAAAAAAAAATCCATACTCCCCGAATTCCTTAAACTAGAAAGAAAATAGAAAACCAGAAGCTTAGAAAAAAAAACATACAATAGCAGCACAAATCATTTGACTCTGAAATACTCCAAAAAAACCGAATGAAAGTTCAAAATGCATTCGATCAGTACTAGGTAAAGAAAAAAGATCATTTGTTATATGAAATTCAATAACCAGAATAATAAAAAAAAAAATTCATACTCCCTGAATTCCTTAAACTAGAAGGAAAATAAAAAACCAGAAGCTCAGAAGAAAAAATATACAATAGTAGCACAAATCATTTAACCCTGAAATACTCCAAAAAAACCAAATGAGAAGTTCAAAATGTATTTGACCAGTACTAGATAAAGAAAAAAGATTATTCGTTATATATACATTTAAGAAATTCAATAATCAGAATAATAAAAAAAAAAAATTCATACTCCCTAAATTCTTTAAACTAGAAGAAAAATAGAAAACTGGAAGCTCAGAAGAAAAAACATACAATAGTAGCACAAATCATTTGACTCTAAAATACTCTAAAAAAAACCGAATGAGAAGTTCAAAATGCATTCGATCAGTACTAGGTAAAGAAAAAAGATCATTAGTTATATATATGTTTAAGAAATTCAATAACCAGAATAATAAAAAAAAAATTCATACTCCCCAAATTCTTTAAACTATAAAGAAAATAGAAAACTCAGAAGATTAAACATGTCAAATCCAGAACAAACCAAAAAAACAAGTGCTTCTTGAATACTCAAAACCCAACCCACTGAAAGAGCTGAAATAAGTAAAAGCCATCAATTTTATATATTCGGAATCAGAGATGCATCTAACGGCTTACTTTAATCTGCTAGTGATTCTTCATGTCTATACATTCTTGATAAGTTAATCCACTATTTAATGCTGTTCTATCAGGTTCAATTTCTAAAGGTTTTAATTATTAAATGATTTGGTGTTTTAATAAAAAGATCTAAACTTTTTTTTAATATAACTTTTTAAATCTATAAAATCTTAAACCTGAAAATCTTAATTTATTCTCGCTCGTACAATAGTAAAGTATACATATGTAACATAGCGGCAAAGCTTATTAGACTTATATTAGATCTAAGATTATGCATTACCCGATTTAGAAATTGTGATCATCAAATATTACTTAAGTATTTAACTATCAAATTTTTATTTGATTTTGCCGAGTACTATCTACAACTATTAGTTTAACCTAATTTTATATAGTAGTTTTTAGCTATCTTATAAGATATTGTTTATAACTAATTTTAATCTAAGTGATTTCATCTAGGTTATATCACCTAATATCATAATACACTTTTAATCAGATAATTTATTAATTTTATTTATTTATTTATTTTATTTAAATTTTAAATTACTAATTATTTACTTTCTTTTTTTTACATATAGCACATTTTCACTTCTAACTATCAAAGTTTGCTTAATACTTACATGGAACCCGCGAATAATTTTCACTATACTTCACCATTTTTTTACTTTAACACTGAGGATCAGTATACTTCAACACTTTTTTATTTTAACACTGAGAACATGTCAAATGTGCCATCATCATTCTATTTTGGTATCTATAATCATAATTTATTAGCGGCTATATCATCTTCTTCTTATTTTAATATTGACAAACACAATATTAATGTCGAATATGATTAATATCAAACATAATATTAACATTGAATATGATATTGCAAATGCTTTACTATCAACTTCCTTTAACACTAATGCTGCAAATTTTTTGTCGCTGCTATGTTTAAATATCTATAATAGCAATACAAATATTTGGTTGACATTTAACTATGAATATAATCAAAATCTAATAACTTTGTTGTCTTATTTTAATGCAATAATTTTAATAGTACGTTTGTTGAATCAGATATTGAAACTTAACTGGAAAATGCAGATAATGAATATGATGAAGAGGAAAGTAATGAATATAATAATGAAAGTAGTAATTTATTAGTACTAAATGAAGAAATAGATTTTGGAATATGGGAACTTGCAGAATCATACCTTAATAATTATGCAAAACAGAAAGGGTTTAGTCTTCACAAGAGAAGATATACTACAGATTCCTATTACAAGAAGACAAATATACAAATATTCACATGCAAGAATATATGAATCTAAAAATATTATCCTGGTGAAAGATAGAAGAAATAGGGATTCTCAAATGATTAGATAATTGTGGCATGTAAATTTGGCTTTTTCTAAGAAAGTAAAAAGCATTCAAGTTAATAGCATTGTAGATAAACACAATCATGATATAAATTCTCAGATTGTAGAAATAGCATCTAAGTATCAGAAATTAACTTGATAAAATCAAGTTTGGACTATCAATAGGAAACTAGGCCTAACAACATAATACAATTTATTAGTCACATCATTTTCAAGAAAAGTAATCAACAAGAAAGATCTAAACAATGCAATTCAACAGTTTAAAGGTCAAGCTAAGCCTAGTAAAAATGATACATGTAATATACTTGATAACTTATTTTTGAAAAAGGAAAAAAATTTTATATAAATTGTAAAACCACATTTTAACTCTGAAAAAGAATGACTTAACTCCTTATTCTAGATAGCTCCTAATCAAATTCATGTTTATAAATATTATCATGATATTGTAATAGTCGATACAACATCCAAAACTAATCAATTCGACATGATATTAATATTAGTTATAGTTATCAACAATAATTTTAAGAACTTGATAGTAGCATCAGCAATTTTAGAAGATAAAACTGAATCAACTTTCACCTGGGTTCTTCAGTAGTTAAAAAGTTTGTATGAAATCATAACTATAGTGTTATATTCTGATACAGATCCTGCTTTACTATTGGCTATATGAAGGAATTATCCAGACATGTGCTAGTTGCATTGTATATTCCACATCAACTTAAATCTAAAGAAAAAGCTTAAAGGAATATTAAATAAACAATTTGAACCTTTTTGTACTGAATTTTTGAAAATGCACATGCACAATTCTTTATATCATAAAAAAATTTGAGATTAAGTGGAAAAACTTGTAAATAAATATCCTGAATATAAAAATTACCTTGTAAATATTTTATATTCTTATAAAACCAGCTGGGCGAGTTATGCTATAAACAGATACTTTTCTGCTAGGGCTCAAAGCACCAGAGAGTTAAAGTAACTAACAAAATTATTAAAGAAAAACTGAGCAGAACTTTATGATTAACTGAAGTTGTTGAAGAGATTCAATCATTGTTTAATCAACAATCTAAAAGAGCAATATTAACTGAATGCAAAAATGAAATTCTGATACAAGAAATACTAACTATAATAGATGAATACTTTTCTGATATAGATAAGATCTTAAAAGAATACCTTATATCTCAAATACTTCAAAAACAGCGAGATCAAATAGCACATTCAATATGCTACAATGCAGTGCTAGTTGATAATTGGCAATTACTTCTAAAAGTATATACTTCAGATTATTATTGAACTAAAAACTCTAAACTAATGATTATTTTTTTTTTTTGTATTAGACAATAGATGATTCTTACCAAGAAGAAATTGTATAAGAAAATGACTATGATCAGCCTTAGTCTTTATTTTCTTCCTTGCTTGAAGATATACATTACAAATATGTTCAAGAGGTTTGGAAAATAATTAAATATCGAAGACAATAATTAGATCCACAATATGTTATTATACTCAATAAAAGCTCTCATTTATATATATACCTTTGGCTTGTTAATTGTAGCATTGTGTATAGGCATTTCTTTTGGGTTATATTATATTCGATTTATGCATGGTTTCATATCTTACTTATTCCTAGACACTGGTATATCAGTAGCAAAATTAATGAACAAGATAACAAATTAACACCAACATATCAAGTTAGACAAACCAGATCTGTTAAATTGGCTTAACCCTTATTCTAGCATCTTATAAGATTTAAGCAAACACCTAATGTTGTACAATTGCATGTTTCTAAACAAAAATATAGTTTTAGTATGGGCTAGTGATTGGCGTCGTAATCATGTGATGCTAATTGTCACATGGTAAAATATATAAAAATCAACAATCTAATTGTTGATTTTTATATATTGTATCATGTGACAATTAGGATCACATGATTACAACGCCAATCACTAGTATGGGCTACGCTAAGAAAGCCCTTGACCTGGCTGTTTAAACTAACAAAGTTAATAATTTGGTTAATGAGTTAAAATGTTTTATTAAGAAAACCTAAAATAATATTAATCAAGATCAAGATAATAATAATTCAGGTGTTCAAGATTTATTATAAGTACACTATAAAAGTCAACAACCCAAAATATACAAGTCAGGTGGTGAATTACTGAAGAAAGTAATAGCAGTTAGTAATAAAAAAGAAGAACGATATTGCCAAAAGTATAATAAAACTGGTCATTATATGCCATGGTGCCCTAATTAAAATAGGGTAATGATGCATTATGTATTGCTTAACATTAACGTTAATGCTAATTAATTTAGTAATTATCTGTTATAGATTTTTATATATTGTATGCATACTTATAAAGTTAAGAATATCTATATTAAATAAGTGCAAACAATAAAAAATTAGATTTGGCCTCTCTATGTAATATAAAATCCTAAGCAGTTATTATAGTATTGTGTATTGTTAAGTATTTTGAGTACTGGCTAATTTTGCTATATTGTTTTGTTAATATAACTGTATATATATATTATATATAATATATATACTGTATTATATTATTTATATATATATATATGATTTTACCAAGAGGTATAACAGCTTAGTGAAGTGGTTTAGTTGTCACCCTCTCCAAATAGTAATGGCTAGGTTCTATGTTCGAATCCTAGAGATGATGCTTTTGAGTGAAATAGAACATGTCAGGTGACAATCTTCACAAAGATTGGCCTATGGAGGATCTGGTAATCTGGTGTCTGGTGGCACCGGTGAGGTGATTTAGGGTAGCTATAATTTGTACTACAGGACTGAATATTAAAGTATATTTGGGAAGTCCCAAGTTTGGAGATAGTAGTGATCTTTGATGATACTACATGAAGACTGAATTTGAACTGGGCCTGAGATTGGAGAACCAAGTGATCAGGTTCTTTAGTAGGAGAAAACACTAGTCAAACTGCTAGTTTAGATGCACCAGAGAAAAAGGTTATATGCTTTGAAAGTATAAACCAAGAAGAGAGTGTCCTTTAGACATCTAAAGCCTGGTAGACTGACCTATCCAGGTTGCTGGCTGGAAGTAAGAGATAGACTAATAAAGAATCCGGGTAAAGAGATGGTTGGAATGTGAGTACTAGGGTTGTTGTGAATCATACAAGGGCAGGAGTAGGTAATTGGCAACTAATCAGAAAGGTTGTATTTGAGATACAGATTGGGTTATAGCAGTATTCCAAAAGTTGGCTTAAGATATGAACTCGGTAGTGGCAACACAACATGTACTAGTTAGGAAAAAATTACCAAACATGCAGATAAAAGTATATGCAAAACATGAACTACTCTGTTAAGTTTACCTCATAGATAGATTAGCCTCATTGGAGTTAGTAAGTCCTAAGGTGGGTACAAAATCAGATAAGACAAATGTGAACTACCTGTGTATAGTAAGCTATGCCTCAGGTTAGATAGTATCCATGTGCGAACTACCTGTGTATAGTAAGCTATCCCTCAGGTTAGATGGTATCTATTAGTTTGGAAGTAGGTTACAGTCAGAGAGTTTAAATAGGTACCCCTCTAGCTGAGGTACAGATACAGCAAATAGTGTAGAACTTTCGGGCAAACTATTTAAATTAGACATCCAAAAGGTGCACATGTGGCTTGATGTACCCTTACTATAATTGAAAAACAAAACTATCTAATAAAACATTTCCTGGCAAAAGAGATTACTTTAATACCAAAAAAAATAAAAAAAATAGATAATTTTATCTAGAGGCAAATTAGGAAATGTCTAAAATATTTATGCTTATAAAATTTTTTTTTCTTAGATAAATATATAAAGATAAGATAGCTAATTTAAAATCTAATTTTTCTTTAAAATTGAACCAATATATAAAAAATAATTTAAATTTAATTAATGATCTGCCACTCAACAGACGAATGATCATAGTATAATGTGATGCAGTTTACTATATAAATCTAATATAGCCTGAATATGGAAAATTTCTAACATTTTCCTAAATAAAACTTTTTTGTACTAAGTTAATTGACTTTGTCACTTAATTAAAAGTTGTAGAGCTTGTCTTTGCGGTTCTAATGGTAGTTAAATCATTCAAATCGGCCTTGTAGATGCCAAGATAACTTTAAAAAACATTTCTTTAACTAGATAAACTTCATTGTAATTGTTTTAAAGAAGTTTACATAGTTCGGCACCCTGAGCCTTGCTACTGGGTGACAGTATTCATTAAATTGGGTACGGCCTGGGTTCCTAGCACAGAAAGGGAAACCAAATGTCGAGTTAGACGGCACCTTGGTGTACGGGAGCTTATGGGGCTAATTGCGGAGTGGGTACAGAAGATCAGAGGGTTTAAATAGGCAATCTCCTAGCAGGTTGCAGGTATGGCAGCTAGTGTAGAACCTTCGGGCGGACTACTTAAATAGGCAACCAAAAGTTGTACGTGTGGCTAGTTGTATGCTCATCAATGTACCAAAAATGTTGTATAAACATATAAAAACACAATAAAGCGTTAGCATCCGTGATATCGGTTTAAAAAAAAAAAAATAAAAATAAAAAAAAAAAAAAGTTTACATAGTCAAAAAAAAATTTTTTTAAAGATATCTTGGCATCCACTAGGCCAATTTGTATGATTTAACTACTATTAAAACTGCAAAGATGAGCTCTACAACTTTCAATTAAGTGACAAAGTTAATTAACTTAGTATAAAAAGGTTTTCTTTAGAGAAATATTAGAAATTTTTTTTTTTTTTTTTTTTAATATTTGGGGTGTAGCTCCTGCTCAGACTTTTATTAATACTTAAGTAGATTGACATATAATAGTACCATAAATACATACATATTATATATCAGAACTAGGACTAGGACATCAAGTACTATGGCTATTTATTTATAGTTAAAACCCATCAGAGCCGTCAACATCCCCACACATGTGATTGACCTAGATTTTATATATCCTCTTCCAACCGCCAATTAGTATTCATATGTCTGCTACATTACCCACAAACCTTTTATCTTCAACCCCCAAATTGGTGTGTATCAGGTAGACGCTTATTGCTTCCAGTTTGGTATGCCTGGCAGAGCGATTTCTCTCTCAATCCTTACTTGGCGTACTTTCTAGGAGTTTGTATTTCAAGCCATGCAGCTGCCTTTACCCAAATGGGTAAGTATCTCAAGCCTGCATGCTGCCATAACTAGCTAGTTTCCTGCGACTTTTGGGACCCAGGTCTTAACGTATCTGATTAGATTTGTGCTAATGACTGTATTTCTCAATATGGTAACAAGGCTGCCCAGGCATGTTTTGCAAATACTTCCAGTAGTCAATATAGTTGGAGGGCATCATGAGGCTCAGAGATAACAGGTGTGTCATCATTTCTTTTTATTGTGATTCTCGGCAGTTGTAGTCTTCGGCAGTGTTGTACATGGGACAATTTTAGACATTTTTGAACATTTTTTCAAATTAAAATTACTCAAAATTTTATTAAGATAATCTATTTAATTTTTTCACCAATGAGTCCAGTATCTAAAAAAATATATAATTTTATATTTTTTTAATTACTTTATTGATTAGTTAGATATGAGATATAGGCTTGGACGATTTTGGACAATCTTGGATGTTGGACATTTTACATAGTATGGACATGTCCCATGTATAACACTGGTCTCTAGTTACTACTACATGTGCTTACACCCGCTCTACCTATATTGGTATTCCCAAGTCTTTTTAATGCCAAAGGCTCCCATATGGGTACGACCAGAGCCTGTTAGATCTATCAACATGTATACATCTCCATGCTTCAACCTCTTATTGGCCAGAGAGTTCTGTATGTTCTAGAGGTGTTCCTAATCTGGTAAGGCCAATTCTTTACTACAGGTCTCTTTGTATTCACCATATTTCTCACCACTTTCCAATTTTGGTTACTGCCTAGTTATTCTCCCAGACAAGATCCCCAATGCTGCCTTAGGAGTTGTTGATGCTATTTTGCCAATCGCAGATTTATATACACAACCTTTGTGTAATAGAATCTTCTGTAATAACCACTATTACACATAGTGCCAATTACTCCACTTCTGGAAATTCCTAATCCAGACTTGTATTCACTTGGACTTCCTATAGCAAATACTTCCAAATATTCATAAATAAATATATTTACTAGAACTTGAACCCAAAACCCACTCGTGGAGGGTTGGGTGTCTAGACCACTACGCCATGGGATCTTATATTAGAAATATTCTATATTCAGGCTATATTAGATTTATATAGTAAACTGCATTATGTTACATTATGATCATTCTTCTGTTAAGTGGTGGACTATCAATTAAAATTTTAACTAGTCAATATTATATAAAAAATTAAAGTTAGAGTATACATCAATCATTTATCATATAATTTTTGTGGTACAATAAGATTTCACATATAAAATTACAATACACTACTAATAAAAGTTTTTGAAACCACTATTAATTTTTATCAAAATTAAGTAATATTCAGATTAAACCTTCTATTTATAGTAGTAAAATTTTCGTAGGTTGTATTATTTTAAAAAATATACTTCCTTATATAGTTAAATTTGCCGGGGGCTTTAAATTTGCCAGGGTTACACAAAAAATAAATAGTAAAGATATTTCTAAATTAGGTAATTACCCAATTCGAGTTGTGTTTACTATGTAATCTGTTATACAAAAAAGATCAACAATGCATATTATATAATAAATGATTGTACACTTTAACTTAGAGAAAAATTGCAATTTTTTTAAATTTAAAGTAATATAATTTAAAAAAAAACTTAATTTAATACTAAAAAAATTTTTTAATTAAAATTAAAGATAAATTTCTATAACTTTAGTTAAAAATATAAAAATTTTAATTAATAAATTTTTTTTTGAAAATTTACTAAACTTGAATAACTTATTATGAATAAAATAGATTAAATAATTATTAAAAAAAGGCTTATAATATAAATAATAATTATTACAATATAACTAATAATAATTTTTTTTTATAACAAGCCTTGAAATTATTTTATATAATTAAACTTTTAATTTATAAAATTTATTAATAAATTATAGTTATAATTGGCTTTAATCTTGTACTAAATTTAGTATGTTAAAAATTACAAAAAATACAAAGTTTAAAAAATTATTTTTTTAAAAAAATTTATTATTAATATAAAAAAAATACTATTAAACAATAATTAAATAGTTTTTAGATTCCTGTATATAAAAAAAAATTAAGCCTTCTAATTTTTTAAATTTTTTGTGTATTTTTTAAAACATACTAGATTTAGTATAAGTTAGTAAATCTAATTTATTAAAATTAGAAAAATCTAGTCGTGTAGTCCCTTTTTTGAACATATATACAAAACAGCTTCAAAAATTATTTTCTCAACAACTATATCATCAAATTAACTTAAATTTTTTGTCAAAGCTATAAAACTGATTAAACTTTAACATACTGCAGTTTAAAATTTTTAAACATAATTCTGATTTTTTATTAATTTTTAATTAAATTCAATTATTTTGGTCAAAAAATTGCTTTAAATTTTGGCTTTCATCTAATTTTTGTTGTAGTAATTAAAAAATTATAAAAAAAAATTACTAATTAGCATTTATTTAATATTATTTACTGTAGAAGTTTCAAGATTATAGCTTTTTTATTTAAAAAGTTACAGAGGTGGGAATACTTATAACTATAACTATATATACTAGATAGCTATTATTTTATAATTAATGTTGTTAGTTAGTTGCACTTCACCAATATATAAATTCAAATAATTTATAAGAATCAAGGAATTAGTATAAATAATTAAAATTGTTGCATACCAAAAATATTATAAATTGTATAAGTCTAATAGTTTTACTGTTATTTATTGCTATTATTAAATTATTAATTGTAAGAGCAAGGAATTCTAATTCAATAAAGTTTATAAAAATAATAGTAGAATTGGCTTAGATTAATTAAATTAGATCATCTTAGAAGCTTTTACAAAAATATTTATTCAAGTTTGCACTAAATATTATTATATATTCAACTTTAATCTTATTTGTCAAATTGTACAAATCTGGATAACAAATTAACTTATCAATAATTATAGTTTTTAAATTAACTCCTGTTCTTAGAAGCATCCTTATTATTGCAAATTTTATGGCTTCTTTATATTCAAATTTTTCTTTGTTACTATTCCAGATTTTGATGCTTTTATATAGTTCCTCATTAAACAAAATTATATAATTTGTATATTAAAATGAAGGAGCTTGTCTCAGAATATTTATATTACTGTTGACTCTCTCAGAATTGGTATGCATGGTGGACAGGTTTTGTATCAATTTTAAGAGGTTATCGGATTTGAAAACATAGTAAACTAATAGATTTATATAACGGGAATGGACTTGGTAGATTAATTTTTTATCAAATTTGACAAGTTATCAGCTTTGACAGAATCAGTTTTGAGAGGTCAACAGTATATAGGATTAATAGTATTTTTTCCTCTATATTTAATATAAGTAAAAGGATCTCTATGAATCTTCTGTCTTTAAAATGTTACACAGTTCTCTTTACATTATTAAAACTGCAATTTTGCACTATTGTCAGTTTATGAGTACACACAACAATAAGTTTTTATAACTGAGTTGTGTGGTAAGACTTTAGTAAAAACATGTATCTATACTATTAAGGTTTTTATTATACTTGTATAATAGAAATGGTAGTATAATACCAGGTATAATGCTGTATAATATTGTATAATATGGTATATATAACTAATATTTTGCTTTTATATAGTTTAATATAGTTTAGATATTTCTAAAAATTAGCTTGTTTAAATTGGAAATCTTCATGTTCTTAAATAAAATAATTTAATTGGCTAAATTGTTTTTAATTATACCCTCTGTGTATAATATTGGTATTATACAGATATTACACCAATTTATAATACAGTATATATAATAATAAAAAATCTTGAAAATCCTAGGTACTATATATCAAAAATTCAAAAATCAAAAAATTTTTGACCAGGACCTATTTGACTTAGGTAGTGCACCCACAAAAATTGTCCCCACCCCAGTAATTTTTACTGAATAAAATTTTGGGTACATTTATGTCTTGTAGCAAAAAAGAGTAAAAAAAAAAATGTGAAAAATATATGAAGTAATGTCTAAACCTATCTTGTGTGTTAATAATGTGTCAGGAGAACGATTTTACCTAGAAAGGTCTTCTAACCCTAATCCATACAGATCTGTACAAGGTTGTGCTCCAGATGATCATGTGATAGTTCCGATGACCAAATAAATCTCGATTTCTTTTAATACAGTAATATCAACAATATTGACAACTATAATGATCTATGTTATAAAGTTGACTTTCCTTTGCATTACACCTTTAGTTACTATTATTTATCCTTTTATTTATGCATAACATCAAGAAAAGAAATTTATTTATTTGATCTACTAATTCTTCAAATTCTTTAACATTAAATCAAACTTGTCTTCAACAAAACATGAATTTATATGATAAAAAAAGTTGTATTCTAAAATTTCTTTAAATAACTTATTTGTATTTTCGTAAGGAAAAATTTTCTTAGTTCTCTAAATCATCTTTAACGTTACTTTTATTATTATAAATAAATTATAGCCAACTCTTTCTATAATGACTGACGTACTGAAAAAAACAAGTTCATTATAGAGAGGTTCGTCATACTGTATAGTCTTCCATATATAAAAAAAAATGTATTGAATAAAATTATTAAGTTTTTAATTTTTTAAATTTTTTAAAATTTTTTTTTTTAAATAAAATACGCAAATTTATTAAATAAATTTTTTTTGTCATAGAATTTACAGTAATTTTCAATTACAAACAACATACGTACGTAAGTCTATTATTAACTGATAATTAATTGAGAAATTTTGAATTCCGGAGTAGCCAACCGAACCGACATCCAGAGCGCAACCTTGTACACATTTTCGGTATGCAAAAAAAAATTAGGTAACGATACGTACGTTCATAAGTGTGTCATGAGGCAACCTAAATGCTCGTAAAAAATAGAAAAAGACTCCGATAAACCAAATACGAGAAATTGTCATCCCTTTCGTTTTACTATTGTAAAACTCCATTTCTGATATATATCAGTGCTTAATTGATCTTCATTTATCTAGAATTCTCTATTGAAAGTGATCCGTATTGGTAAATTCGAATATAAAAACCGAAAAGCACTGAAGAATAGAATAATATTCGAACAAAAGCATTATTTTTTAAAAAAAAATTTACAAATAAAAAATGCATTTATTGTATTAGGATTCCCTTAATATGTTTTAAAGTAATATTATCTTTTCTTATTACTTATTATTTCTTATCTTGGTACATATAAAAATAAAAAAAAGCGTTGTTTATTTGTGTACATTACTAGTTTAAGAGACAATTTGAATTTATATGTTTACAAAACCATTTAAAAATCGATTTATGATATCACTACGTATACCACCTGCAGTAGACCTGTATCCCGTACTCAACATGTGATAGGGTCCTGAACCTGTTTATTTAAGGGCTTGCACAGAATTTCAGTTTAAAATACTGAAAGTCTCGAATAGTTTGTTTTTAATTTTGAACTTTACTGTAATTGTACGATAATAGTACTGTCGAAACATGTACACATATGCATGTGTAAATAATTCGAAATTTTAAATTTGGAACTCGAGTTTAATCTTTACATGATTTTATTTCGATTTTTAACATCCTTCGCACGCACTTAAAACGCATCTTGTTACATTCAATATACTGTTTTTTTTCAAATAGAAATCTTTCTAATTACCAAATTTTTTTCAAAATAGAAATCTTTAATTAATATTTATTTTTAAATAAAATACTTAAAAAAGAAGCTTCATAATTATCGATTTAATTATTACGTAGCAATTTTGAATTTTTATAAATTGCTGGAGTTCTTGAGTTTTATTTGTGAATAAACAAAACCAGTTCCAATTCAATACTGATTGTGTTCGATATGCAAGCAGTTGCTTATTTCCTCGATAATTATTTCCTTTACAGAACATCATGTTAGAGCGTCCAGAAACTTTTTAAGCCGTTAAATTGCTGCTTTATGTTAGGCTACTTCTGCATAATCTGTTTAAACAATTAAAATCAATTATTATTAGTAATTTCGTATTACATATCGTTATATAACTAATAATAATTCTGCTTTTTTCTACTTATTCTGCTTTTTTTGAGCACAATTTGTACATATTTGCGCAGATTTTATACAGGCAGGGCATTCTAGTTTAGGGTTAATTGCAGGTATATATCGTTAGTAAATTATCATTTATGTGATGTCGCAGTAAGGGATATGATCGGTGAGAAATCAGACATAATTCAATATGCAAATTTTATATTTTTGTAAAAAGTATTTATGATGGATGTTTTATTTATGATAACGCATCAAGTGGCATTTTTTCTATAATTACAAATGTTTTTATTGTTGACGCATAGATCTTTAAATCAATGCATTGATGTATAATTTCTAAATATGGACGTTTAAAAATTCTTCAAGTAGCTTGTACAGTTTTAAAAAATATAAATTTTTTAGTACTTCATAACAAATAATACGTATAAAGATGGCTATTTTCCCTCGAATTCAGTTTAAGAAAAACATAATAATATTAAAAATATGGGATTAAGTCACTCTTCAAATTATCATTCTTCTCATGTAAGAAGTGTGGTGACATCTGAACCAGTTATTGCCGAAACATTTCCGGATCTATATCCACGTTTGGACATTTTAGATTTCTATGGTAATGAAACATACAGACCACAATTCGATTTGTTTATTCAAAGTTATCAATCATTCTATGATCACACCTACGAAGATATGCGATCATATTACCAAGTTTCTGGAATTCATGGGTTACCTTATACGCCCTATGATGGTGTTACTGGTGGTGAACATGAATACAATAATCAGTCAGAATGGGAAAAAGGTCGTTGGGGTGGATATTGTCATCATGGAGATGTTTTATTTGGACCATGGCATAGGCCATATATGCTTTTATTTGAATCATTGTTAGTTAAAGAGGCTAAACGGATTGCTTTACAATACCCGGATAACGAAAAAGAAAAGTATGTTGAAGCGGCAAAACAACTTCGCCATCCCTATTGGGATTGGGCAGATGAAGAAACATTAAAAGGTGTTCCAGAATTATTCTTAACATCTGAAATCGAAATAAATACACCACAAGGCAAAAAAAAAGTCAAAAATCCTTTACAAAGTTATACTTTACCGGTTGATCTTTCACACCCCCTTGGAGAAGGTCATAATCCAACTGATAAACCCCATTATAAAGTTCCCAGCAGAAGACATGTTCCATTTACACCTGCTGGTTATCCTACTATCAGATATCCTAATTCCAACTATGAAGATCAAAATGATGTATTAAATAGAAATGTTTCCGTGTATGTTTCTACAGTATTTAGACCCGGATTATATCAAATGTTTCATATTAGCGACTACCTGCATTTTAGCAATCATGGTGTAAGATCAAATAATAAACAAACGGCAAATTCCCTATTTCCAGGCCATCCGAGTCCTCTTAAAGTTGTTGGAACATCACATTTTGCATCGATTGAAACAGTTCATGATACTCTTCATTTAATAGTCGGTGGTCTTGGAGGTCATATGGCTTATGCAGATATAGCTGCATTTGATCCAATGTTCTATTTCCATCATGTAAATGTGGATCGTCTTTTTGCACTTTGGCAAGAAGTGTTAGTATTATTCTTTATTTAAATAAGTAAATATTAAATAATAAAAAGATTAATTAATATATATATATATTTTATACTATAGATTTCCTGATAGCTGGATTCAACAAAATATTGATCTCAACGGAACTTTTACAGAAGAAATGTACACAAAAATAGATGAACATACAGATCTAACACCATTTAGAAAGACTGAAACAGAATTCTGGAAATCTTCAGATATTCGTTATATAGAAAAACTTGGGTATACATACCCTCAAGTAACAATGTTTAAAGGTCAAGATCCTAAAACTTTACAAGCCTATCTTCTTAAACTTTATAAACCTGATCCTTATCATAGACGCAGATTTTTCGTAAAGTTGACCGTAGAATCGGGTAAATTAATTGGACCATACGCTATTAGAGTATTTGTTGATTTGAAAAATGCGACTACTCAGACACCAGTAACATCACCTCATTTTGCTGGCCTTGTTGCCATGTGGCGTGGTACTAAGCATTCACATGCTAATAATAACACTTTTGTCGTGGGAACTGTCGATATTACGGCAGCTATGGAGCGATTAGGAATTCGAAGTCAAACATACGATGTGAGTCAAGAAGTTAATGATACAACAGGCTTAATGAATTCAACATCAATTTTTGACATTGATGAGGATATCAAAATAGTTCCTGTTTTCTTGGATGGTAAAGGAGTTAGTCCGAAAGAAGCTGGGGTTAATATGATTGAAGTTTTTTCATTCGAACACGACAAAGTTGATAAAAATTTCTTGGTCGAAAACACTGGTCAATATTATGGCTCTAAAGAATTTTAAATTTATCAAGGAAATCTAATACTTTATTGAACAGAACTATACTTGTGTATAAACAAAATTTTGTTTTCCATAGTTCTTTAATCTCGTTTCATTTCTGATATAGATCACAATGATTAGGGGGTGTTGACAACAGGAGGAAACGTCCAAATATAGACATGATTTTCATTCTCCGTTACACAGATCACTCATTGTATCACTACGGGATTAGTCAACCAATCAAATTGCGAAATTTACAAAAAGACGAAACCGTGGGATTCAAGGGGATTCAAAAAATATGTTGTAAAGCAAAGTGAGAGCTTCATGTTTGTTTAAAAATTTTCAATATTCATATAAAACATAAGTCAAGCGAGCCTTCCAAAAAAGTATTGTAAAATAATATAAAAAATTTTTTATCAATTGTGTAACAATTTTGAAACGTTTCAACGTTTCCCCCTGTTGGTGTTGACATTTATTACGAAATTTTTTTTTGAGTCGGTGTCAAAAATTTTATTTCCGTAATATGATCAGGGTTTTTGCGAAAATTTCTCAAAATCTACATGATCCACTTTAATGTGAGATTCTACTATATAATAATCTTACCATTAATGTAATTTTTAAAAAATTTTGCTTGTTCCACAGAATTTTAGAATTAAATCATTTAATAATAAATTTTTTATTTTTTTTATGGAAAACTTTACTTGTAGCTGTGGCTACATGTTGCCGTATTCAATAATTCTATAATAGCAAAATTTTATAGGGTAACCTCTGTTGTGTAACTAAGTGAAAATGCTCCTCTCGCAATTTTACCCTAACCGTAATATTAATATCCACAAAATTTTTTTATAAAAAAACTATATTTGATAGTACGGCTACATGTAGCCTATAGCTACAAATAAATTAATTCTATTATTTAATGTAAAAATTTTAGATTAAAGTATGGTTGAACTTAATATTTTCTTAACATCCGCCACCAAAGCTCTTAAATATATTTTTTATGTATTGAACTAGAACAAGGCAGCTCTGCCGTTTGATTTTAATAATCATGTACGTATGTACGTAGAAATCGGTTATATTGTGTGGACAATGCTAATTTTGTATATATGCCGAATTTATTGTTGATTCTAAATCGAACAGAATTCTAAATAGACTCGATTTGTTAGAGAATTCGAATTCAACTTATCACTGTTTTCGAATTAGTGCGATTAATGATCATGAATCCTGCATGTTACCATTGTTAAAATAATGGTAACATGCAGGATTCACGGTCATTAATCGCACTAATTTGAAACAGTAATAATACGGTACTAAATTGTTTTCATTACAGTACACAATATGTAGCGATGCGAATTTTCTAATTATTAATTGTTAACATGAATTGTTAACTTAATAAATCAATGTTAACAATTAATTGAATTATCTAATATGCATAGAAAGTATCGATAGAATGTGTGATCAGCGAATTAAAACATATTTTCCAATATTTTTATGTACTCTAATATAAAAATGATTTAGTAGTGATAAAAATTAAAATATTTCAACGATAGAACCTTCCACTACAGCCTTTAATTGATGCGATCAATGATTTTATACTGCAGAAAATTGACAAAAATAATTGATTAGATCGTTTTCTACGAAGATGTTTTATGCATATTGCATAATTAATTTATTTATAGTCTAACTTATTAGTTAAATTTTAATTTTTAATCTTTAATTCCCATCGATAACTAAATGAACTTTCGTATAATTGACTATTATTTTCAATCGAAATTCACATCATTTATATAGTCTAAAGCACTTTATTCAAAAAAAATAAAGCTAACATAATAAAAATAAAAATACTTATAAACCTTATAAAGTTTTATTACTCCAAAGTATCTTCAGAAACGGATAAAATAAAGACACTGCTACGTTAACTTTTTAAAGAGATAAGAATTAAAGATACTTATAACAATAGAGTTCTGCAACTCCAAACTGTAATAGCCAATCATACGAGAGTCTCCATGCGCTTGAATGATTCCTGAATTAGCCAATATTGCTCTATAAATGTACGGCCCTATAAACTCAATCAATATACAGGAATCCTACTAATTCTCCGTTTATTCTCAATGTTCAAAGCTATTTTCGAATTCTTCAGATTAATATAGCTATAAAATAGTCTTAAACATATAAATTAATCATGCTGTTATTGATATGTCTTCACTCAAAGTTCGAAAACACATAAGCTTTAATAGATAAAATTAATTATAATAGGTTAATATAATTTTTATTCAATATTATATGGGGTCTTTGCCTTGAAAATCACCTTCCGACATTTCCGATCGGGCTAATTCGGACAAAACAAAGCTGTGTATTAGTTCATGTTTTATATGTAAACCCCATTTTGTCTTCATGGTTCAATGGTTTATAGAATGAAGTTTCGAATCAATAAAGCAAAAAGAGATTCAAATATAAACGTGAAACAGGAGTAAACGTCCAAATATAGATATGATTTTCATTCTCCGTTACACAGATCACTCATTGTATCACTACGGGATTAGTCAACCAATCAAATTGCGAAATTTACAAAAAGACGAAACCACGGGATTCAAAAAATATGTTGTAAAGCAAAGTGAGAGCTTCATGTTTGTTTAATCATTTTCAATATTCATAGAAAAGATAAGTCAAACGAGCCTTCCAAAAAAGTATTGTAAAATAAATAAAAAAACTTTTTATCAATTGTGTAACAATTTTATGACGTTCAACGTTTCCTCCTGTTTAAACGTGAACTAATATACGGATTTGTTTTTGTCCGAATTAGCCCGATCAGAAATGTCGGAGGGTGATTTTCAAGGCAAAGACTCCATATCTGCATTTTAAAATTTCCGATTCTGTAAGTCAATTACTTGTTAATTATTATTTCGGATGATGTTGAAATTAAGACTTAACTTACGATATTTAAAATTTTTGGGGAATAATATTTTTAAAGAAAAAAAATAATTCAACATTAAAAAAAGTCACATAAATTTTATCTTTATTATATTGAAACATAATGCGTAACAATTATATCATCAGTAATAATTGAACCTTAATATCTTTAATAAATGTTAGAGAAACAAATTTGTTTAGAAACATTTCAAAATATATAAAATTTTAACTTTGCTTAATATTTTCAAGTAAAAATATCTTCCAATATATATTTTATTGATTTTTTTAATTTTTTAAAAAGCTCTAAAATAATAAAGTTTAAATTTTATAATTAGCTTTATTAGAATTACTTTTAATTGTTTTTGTTGGCATATGAATAACCTTATATAAGTGAGAAAGAGAAATATACACAATCATGTGCAGCATCCCGTAAAATTTTCTTAAAACATTGTCTAGTTCTCAAGTTTATGATAGAAACGTGCTAATTTTTAGATTTATTCGTGGTGGACGGTTATCAAACGATCATGGTAATTTGAAAAACATGATAATTTACTGTGCACAGTTTTAACTAGCAACATGAATATGTAAAATCTATATTGTTTGCTCATTTTATATGATTAAATTCATTAAAGAATCGTAGGCATATATTATATAAATTAACTCAAACTACTTATTCATAAGACATGAGCTTATTGTAACCTATATAATACTTTTGAACTTGGTATGTGGCCCTCAGAGAACTACTCAAGGATTATAAAGTGGAAATATGAATATTAAGTGCATTAAAAGATTTTAACTTAAGACTACAAACTATAAGAACAAATTTTCTTTTGATTATTTAGCAAACTAGTTAGATGATATTCAATCAATTTAATACGCATACGTACTAATTTAGAATCCACAGTTACAACATACTTATAACTTTATCAGAAATTTTGAGACAACTTGTAAATTAATCAATAATTATTTGACAGATTCGATAATTTTTTGATTCTGCACTAGTGGTATTTATAAAGTGTGCATTTAAGAACTTTTCAGTTCAAGTAATTTCTAGGCAGACTTTAGTAAGTTCTCAGTGAGTTAAATTTCATGCGTCGAGGAACTTCTGTCGCTTTTAGAAAGACACATTTATTATTGATGTCTAACTTATGTCTAACTTATGTCCAGAACTTTTTAGCATTCAAGTGGGGTCTGCTGGTTGGCAATAACGGATTTATTATAAATTTTCTACTCAATTAAATGATTGAGTATAAAGTATATAAGAGTCTGTCTCAATTTTCAGGTTTAGTTCCAATAATAAATGAACCTATAGGCATTAACATAATTATGAAAAAAACAATAAATGATGCAAAAAAAAGATATATATGTTTATATTTATATGCACAAGAGCTTCGAATAAATAAGTTAAACCTTCGATTAACATCATTCCTCCTCTCACTCAACTGTCCCCTAAAAATTAAACAACCAATCAAAATGCCGGATGATTCTCATGCATTTTATGTTCTACCGTCCCACTGAGAAACAGTATAAGGGTAATTATCGAATGTTCTTCTTAAAATATGAATGCACGAAGGTTCAAATGAACTTCCATATAACATTTACTTTCTTAACGTTAGGTTAAGATCTACATATGTGTTGCAACATAGCGGGCTTTTATTTTGATTGGCCAATTTTTGTAGATCAACCCGTGATATAGTAAAAATTCTATTGGTTAATCGAAATTA